CTGTTTGTCTACGTTTTTTATACGTTTTTTAAACGTATTATATCCGTATACTTTCCTTATACATATTATTTATAGGGTAGATTTTCCTTGACCTTTTATTCTAAGTGGTGGTTCACCTAATGAAGCCCAAATAGTTGGATGATCATCATTGGCATAAAAAAGACACTCGTCATGCGTTACTAAAATATGCAATTGCTCTTCATTTTTAAGTTTTGGAAGAACATTTGCATTTCATCACCAATAAATGTTGGCATTAATTTTTCAAATTCTGCCATAGTTTTTAAAAATTATTCACAGTATTGTAATACATCTTCACGTTCATGTCCATCAAAATATATGCCTTACTTTTAAGATTGTGAAGCCAAATCCAACTTATGAAGTCATATTCTTGCAGTTTTTATTGATATAGATTTTATAATACTCATTTGAGGAAAAAGTTTTGCCACTATAAATTCTTTATACTGTTGTGATATTATCTTTCTGCTATTAGAACGAATATATGTTAAACTACAATTGATAATATTTTCATCATCAATAATGATTTTATTTTTTGATGATAACCTTGCAATGAAATTGGTAATATACCATATTTAATCCAATAATCACCTAATTTACAAATTATTCTAGACCTATAGATTCCTTTATCATAAATTTCTTTTGATGCCTTTTCACTTGCTTTCATTCACGTTAACCCATCTTTTTTCTAATATGTAAAATATGCATGTATAGACTGATACTTTAGATAATCATATACATTTTGTTTTTTATAATAACTAGAAAGAATTTGTTCTAATTTTTGTAATTTTTGATTAAAATTATGATTATCATCATCTTGAATTTCATCGCTTATACTTTCTTCTTCTAATGTTATTTTTTTATCGTTTATTTCATAAATTGATGGTTCTATAAAATATAAACTATTTATTTCAACATTCCAATTATTTAAAAAACCTATTTTTAAATCATTAGCTAATATATTATTATTATCTTTTGCACCAGCAGATGAATCATTATTTTCTGTACCAGCCGATACATTATTATTATCTTTTGCACTAGCCGATGAATCATTACTTTTTATACCAGCTGATGCATTGTTATTATCTTTTACACCAGCAAATGCATTGTCATCGTCTAATGCATTATTATTATCTTTTGCACCAGCCAATGCATTGTCATCATCGTTTGTACTAGCTGATATATTATCATTATCTAAAATATTTTAATTTAAATTAGTATTAAATTAATTTATAAAATTTAATAAAAGAGTTTTTTTTTATTTACCTGTCAAATCTATAACAAATTTATCTTCAGTTTAGTTTTTTATTGGTTTAAAAAAATTAAAAAGAGAACTTGTTCCCTTTGCTGTCACAGTAAAACTTTCTAGAGATCCATACTTTCGATAGTGTGTTGCAATTGAGTTTCCAATATATAGTGCTTTTTTTTGTTCAAATATTGCAATGTCAATCTATACTAACTTAAATTCAGATAAATATTGTATTCTTTGATTTACAAATTCTTCAGAATCGGAATCACTTTCTTCTGAATAAAAATCATTTGAGTCACTATCATCCTTATATTGTTTATTTAATGTAAATTTACCCATTTTATCACAATTTTATCCTGCAACTCGCTCTTTGGCTAATTTTGATGCATGTGATAATAGCATAATGAATGTGAATATAAAATTTATTACAATTAAAAGACCATAAGAAAAAAGAGAAACAACTTGAAATTCTAGAAATAAAGTTATGTCTCAAGTTTATCAAATTGATTTCAACTAAAATTTATATTTTTTTCTTTTTTTTAAATATTTCACAATTTTAACATATTCTCAATTTCAGCCATCATAGTTAAATTAGTTTAAATGTATCACACAAAAACTTTGTTCATCATGCATAAAATTTAGAATCTAACCATAAAAATAATTAGATTTTGATTCAAACTTTTCGATCTATTAGTTAAAATTTATATTTTTATTATTGACAGAGTTACATATATTTAAAGATTAACAATTTTTACTATAAGGTTATTCCTATTATAGAGGTTCTGTACTGTAGTCAAATTTATTAATAGCAATAATCTATTATTAGCAATAATGCACATGTGATCTTAAATTAATTGTTATTATTATTATTGCAACAAATATTATGTTATACCTGATTGTGATTGGCTATTACACATGACGTAACAGATGGAAAATTACTGGTATGGCTTGTACATATAAGTCCTACGTTACACTTCAGACAATAATTAAGAATTGTATAAGAAAATTATAAATTTTATGTATAATCATTTTTTAAAAATACTAATATATTTTATTTTTATTAAAATAATACAATTAAAGATTGTTCTAAAGAAATAAAAGAGATATTAAATGAAATTATATCATTTATATCTCAGTTTGATCTTATTATAATTAAATATAATACTCCAATTGTATGTGGAATTTTAGATGTTTATCAAGGAGTAGATTTTAATTTTGAAAAGTTTTCTAAAAAAATATTACAAGATCTACAAAAAGTTGATTTGGAAACACTAAACTTTTCAAATAAAGCAAATGATATGATAAATAAATTTATTCATATGTATCATTCATTAGATGCTCATTACAATTTAAGATCAGTTCGACTGATTACATTTCCTGAAGTTGAATTAGAAAAGAAAATTTTGATTACTTAAGTATTATATATCGATATGATTTATTAAAAGGATTATAAGTAATTTTATAAATTATATTATTTTAATTATAAATATTAATTTATTTAAATTTATTTAAATTTATAGAAGAAAATGTTAAAGTTTACAGCTATTATTAGAAGAAACTGATTATAGTGAAAGTGGTTACATAACTCACGCAATTTTTAGATTTCTAGATCCAATATTTACTTATAATGATTGGAGCTTTAAACTTAATTTGTATATTATATTAAAATATTTAATTTATTATAAAATATTATATATTAATAATAGATAATAATTAATTTTAATTGTTTAGAAATAAATTATCAAATTCATCAAAAATCACTAAGGAGAATATGCAATCTGTTTATTTGAAAGATATTCCAGATTATTTAGTTATTATAAATGAATCTGATGGTATAGAGATTGTTATTAGTGAAATTTCACAATTATTTCCTCCATCTGATAAGGAAAATTATGATTGAAAAAAAATAATTCATGAATGTAAGAAGAATTAATAAAAGGTAAGAATTTAAGCAATAATGAAAGGAGATCAATAATTGATGATCTTCATCAAATTCTTTTTATAGAAATTCAAGTAATAAGGAATAATATAATAGTTTTTGGAATTGATAGTTACAAAAATTCTTTTTATTTTTCTTTTGAAATCATTAGATATAATATTTCATTAAGAGTTTCAATGGAAATATTAAAAAAAAAATTTTAACAAAATCTTTAATAGTAAAAAATTATGTAGATAAAATAGTAAGTAATCTTTTATAAATTAAAAATAAAATTAAGAATTTACCAGATCAAATTGAAGATAAAATAGATGAAATAGAAATTTCTGAATATGATATGTTAATAGCAATAATATATTAATTAAAAAAAAAATACAAAAAATTACAAGATATTTTTATTTTTTAAAAAATTAAATACGTGAAATGTGAATGTGAACAATGTCTCTTGTAGTTTCTGCTACGTGAATAATCTACTATTACTTTGATATCTCCTATAGCTTTCACTATATAAATAATGTCTCCTATGACAGTTTTCGTTTCAATATCACTCTTTATACAAACTTCTATAAGCTTGTTGAAGTCAATCTAAAAAATATAATAAATGATGAAAATATACAGTATATATCATAAAACAATAATTATAATAAAGTAATTATATTTGCAAATATATTTTAAAAATCATACAGTTAAACCAATAAGACTTTCTATCATTAGAATGTAAAATGTATTTAGGGTTTGGTAATTTATGAAATTGACAGAATTCAGATAATATAACGCTACAGTCTGAAATACTTGTTCATAAAGTATTATGATGCTTGGTATTTTAACATTTGATTTCATTGTCAACATTTACAAATTTAACAAAAAAAATACCAAAATGAAAATGATCGAAACAAATAAATCTGTTTTGCATTATCAAATTGTTATTATTATACATAATCAAGATAATCAATATTTAATTAGATTAGAATTTTTAATTATGATTATGCGATAAATTAAAAAGGTAAAATAAGTAACTATTTAGGCATTGCAATATTATTACAATTTTTTTTTAAAAAAAAATTTATTATAAAATAAAAAAAAAATAATATATATAAAAAAAAATATAATAAAAAAATTAAAATAAAAAATATTAAGAAAAATTAAAATTAAAATTAAAAAAATAATAATAATAAAAATAAAATTAAAATTAAAATAAAATTATTAAAAAAAATAAAAAAATAAAAATTAAAAATTAATGCCTTCTTGGCGAAAAACTTCTCCTTTTTTGTGAAGAATATGACTTTCTTCTGTATCTTTGTAAATGGGATCTACGATTCCTTGAATGATGGTAAGAATGGGATTTATAATCCTATGAATAATGGTGAGAATGGAATCTATAATCCTGAAATGATCATAAGAATGGGATCTATAATTTCAGTAAAAATGAGATCTATGTCAGTACTGATACAAGTAGCAATCTATATTCTGTCTTCTATACCGATGACAATTTATGTCTAAAAATAATAAAAAAATAATAAATAAATTAAAAAATTGAAGTTTTAAAAAGTAAAAAATATATTTCTTATTACTATTATTCAATAAATAATTACTAGTTCAAAGTCAAAATTTTTCTCCCAATTCTGCATGAAATATCTGATAATGATAATAATTATAATAAGTATAATAAAAATAATGAAAATAAGAAAAATAAGATAATAATTAAAATAATGAAAATATAGGGAATTAGGAAAATCTAACGAATCATGATAATCTGACGAATTCAGTAAATCCTAAGAATCCTACGAATCCCCTTAATTCTATGGATTCTAAGAATCATCAAAATCCAGAATTATGCAGATCTTCTAATTGTGATCGATATAAATTAATTCCAGTAACTTCTGTAGATCATTTAATAATTCTTTGTAGATTAACTTTTCAATAATGAATTTTTAGCCAGTAACAACATGTACAAGTAAAAATCCAGATGGTATATTATTAAGTAAATTGATATTTAATCATCATCGTAGAAGAGAGCAATTTTTATCAATTAAAGATGATGAAAATATTGATCAAGTTGAAGTTCATGATCAAGATTTTGATATTGAATTTCATAAAAATATAATTGAAAATATTGATGATATTGAATATTTTGACGATTTAGAAATAATTTCAGATAATAAAGAAGAAGAAGAAGATGATGATATTGTTAGTCAAAACAATGAAGAAGAAATAGATTATGAAGAAGAAGAAAAAGATGATAATATTAATGAAGATGAAGATAATAACAATCAAGACGCAATGCAAATTGAAGATCATAATATTATAAGTCAAAAAGTTATTAATGACCTTCAACTTTTATATTTAAAATCAAAACATAACTTTATGAAAATGTTATTTGATGATTTTACAAAAAAATTTATTATTAAAAAATTTGGGGAAAAAAGCCTTAGTTTATATAAGATTAAAAATTATTAGAAAGATTAACAAAACTTATTTCTATCTTTTATGATATGTGTGAAAATTCTTGTATATGTTATATTGGAATTTATGAATCTTTTCAAAGTTGCCCATTATGCGAATCATCAAGATATGATTCAATAAATAAACCTAAAAAAGTTATGCCATATCTTTCTATCAAAAAAATATTAGAAATATAATATAATAATAAAGTAAGAGTAGAAGAATTACTTTATCGTTATCAATATATTAATAATAAAGATATTGATTTAGAAGATCTATTAATGAAAAAGTTGCTAGTGATGATGCATTCAAAGAAGTCAACATTAGACGTGTTAATCTTACTTGATCTGCAATTCTGTATTTTGATAACAAAGATGCCCTGCATATCATTAATATTCATCTAAATATAAAACAGAACACCCTCAAATTCTTCTTCTCCAAATATGGCAATATTATTAATATCAGAATGCAAACATGAGATATGTGGTAGCATGCTTACATTACCTATGAAAAGCCACAAAATATTGCATTATTCTATGAACAATAGTCTAGATATCTGTTCAATGACTGTGTTAGAATTTACCTTGCAAGTTTTACCATGAATAGGTCAAGCATAGAAATAATTTTCACATTAAATTGACTAATCTACCCTTCAGTATCTCCTTACGTGATCTTTATGATATTACCCTTGCTACTAAAGCAAAATCATGTTACATCTCCAAATCTAATAACTACAAACCTTGCACTTCGCTATTTTTTACTTTTAATCTGAAGAAGAATTGAATAATGTAATACAAACCTTATGCTCTTGATAACCATGAACTTCAATTGTGTTCTGCTGAAGCAAATGTTGTCATAAATGCAAATCTACTAAATATCTCATTATGAAATGTTTTATGATTAAATAGCATAATAAAGATGAAGATTTTAGTAATAAGAAACCTAGAAATCAATTATCATC